TCCGAAACCGCGTAATTGTGGAGAAAAATTGCCTTGAGACTTGCCGCCTTAACTTATTTGCGGCTTGAATACAGCATACCGTCTTTATACGTTGCGGTTTGCAGACGGGAGAGCTCACTGCGGAAAGTAGAATGGAATTAGCGAATATACACTCATTTGGCTTTTCGAGAGACTCACCTGGAACCAAGCGAGATCTCTCGGTTTTGATGATTCTAGGCAACTGAATCAAAACCAAACTGAAAACCAAATTAGTTTGCAAATGATTGTATTTAGCTAATTTCGTGCAATTTGGTTTCAACTAGAACATAAGGTTGACGGAAACTCGGTGACTGCGCCTACCTGATGAGCCTCGAAAAGGGCGAAACCGGTCGTGGACTGTCGATGGATTTTCAGCAACCTTATGAGTAGTGCATTACAAAATAGAATGGAATTAATTTATGCGGTCACTGCTGAAGCGCTAGAACTTTAATTACTATTTTTATAGAAAGTAATCAGTTCACAAACTGTTGAAGAGCATAGTTCGCTGGTTCTTTGTGTCGAAGGTTGTGAACTGTGATAGATTTTTCATCCTGTCAGTGATGCAAATTCGCGCTCAAAAGCCAGGGGAAACTGCGGAACTGTTTTTTCTTCATTTAAAATAATCAGCTGTGCGCATCTTACGAAAATTCAAGATCTCCGAGTCTCATGACTTCCTTACTTAGGAGGACCACCCAGGAGATCATCATCCTCATAGCCATCCAGCTTACTGACCGGAAAATACGTGGTTCGAACCCGACCTCTGCCTCTCGACTTCCCCAGTCTAGGCTTCGGCAACCTGTAAGTACCCCCAGCATTGTGCTTCCTTTTGGTGGCATGGCAGTTAGGCACCGAAAGCTGAACGATTTTCGTAGTCAGGCAACTTTGGTGACTAATCGGAAATATTTGTGGAAAACAGCAAATTCCTGAGTTTCTTGTAATGCACTACTCATAAGGTTGCTGAAAATCTGTCGACAGCCCACGATAAGTTTTGCCTTTTTGAGGTTCATTAGGTAGGCGCAGTCACCGAGTTTCCGTCAACCTTATGTTCTACTTGAAACCAAATTGCACGAAATTGGCAAATATACACTCATTTGCAAACAATAGTTGGTGATTTTCAGACCCATTTTCATGGAATTTCTTCAGTAAAGAATGATAAAAAGACTGAAATATAAAAGGATGCAACTGTGTGGAGCGAATAACAATGTTTTTGCATTATTGTCACGCCAAAATAGCGGTACAGAAGCCTTGCGAGTGAAACTGCAACCGGTCGGTTTCAGCAAGTATCTTGCGGTTGACTAGTAAGACCTTGAACTTTTGAAGTATCGAAGCTTTTTCTACTTTCGCGAGATCAATGAACCTTGTTTACTTTGTGTTTTTAGATACTACTGTTGCCCAGATTGAAGTAGATTCTAATGAGAATTTCACCAAAATACGAAGAGGAAAGTAGGCTGTGTTCGGCCTTTGGTGTGAAAAAGTCGTCATTGATAGGCTGTCGTTCAAACTGTTGAGACTTAAGAAATGTTTGACCTGACCAACGCAGACGTAAGTGAAGAAAATAGGCGAACATAGTTCACTCTTGTTGCCTTTTACCGAGCGACTGTGCACTTCCGAAGAAGCAAACAATTCGGTTTCAAACGAATCGCTTCTGGTAGCTGCGAAAGCTAACGCTTTCATTATTTGTTTTCCCAAACTTTGGGATCAGACAATTTTTCACTGTAGAGTAATTTTGGGATACTAGTGATCTTCACGGATAGACATGGTCAGTTGCACCCACTATACTTGGATTTCCCAGTCGGGGTCACGAAAAAGTCGATATTCAGAGCCATAAAACCAGAAATTTCTTGTAGCTAAGGGTTGCTAAGTTAAGCAGACTTGTCTCAGCGCCCTCTGAGATCTATTTTGGACGCAGTTTTGGGGTTTTGTGGGATAGGTTTTTTGGCCCTAGTTACACCACTCTCGCTTGAACGGTCGTTCTGCTGTTCTGGCGTAATTATTCCGGTAAACCCACACCAAAAGAAAGCACTGGACTCGAGTTTCGCTCATCAGCAGTGCATATCCCATGCCGTGCCTGGATTTGAACCCCGGACATCTGACATGCGAGGCGAGCGTGTAACCGCTACTCCGCCAACGCACGTTGGACGCATCTGATTTATCACGTCTGAACAGGCGAACGTGTTCACACTTGAGCGATGTGATTGTTGTGCCCGACTCATCGAACGACGACCCAGTAGCTGTCTTGGTTGTGACGATCGATTGACCCGGCAGTCAGGACTTCCGAGTCGAGGTAGCGTGACACCCGCGTGAAACCTACTGAGCAAATTTTGGACTAGAACAGAACCTCTTTAAAACTTACCATATAATTTCGAAAATCTACTACCAAGATGATCATAAACAGTTTGCCACTTTCTTTGGTGCACTCCAGAGGACTTGAAATTTCTCTGTTCACTGACTGATGTGTTACTCATGTGCTTTCTTTCGTTCAGCTCGTCCGCATGCATTTGTATTCGGCTGGTCGATCTTGCAGCTGTCTTTTTACAGTGCACCGTGGTCGATAATAAAGTACTCGTTATTTACTAACCGGCCTGTTTCGGGGTTGACTTGCGCATGAACTAGCACTAATCGGATCATTACGACCCAGAAACTACGTTACGTGTCCACAAATGTGACCTGAACAATTGCAGTAATCTTATTTTAAAGGCGGATTAAATGATTTCTGGTTGTAATGTGACACACCACTTGAGGGACGCCATTGTGCATATGACCTATTTCAAGGGACCCATCAGTCCATTGTGTTGTCCCAGTCAGAGACCGCTCCTGAATGCAGTCCCCTTAGAGAGGGTCAGAGGTAAGGCAGATCCCCTAATACAAACCGATATGAATAACGGTACAGAAATGCGACCTGAACCAATGAGAGAAGCAGGCAGTCTTTTGAAAGCTATCTGCTGTCGCGAGTGGTCCAATCATGAACCAATGTGACACGCGTCCGATATATAATCGATGAACATAACGACTAAAGACACGCATAACAAACTGTGTTTAGATGCAAGATGGGGAAACAGCGTTTGGGTGGGAGCCCCGTCGAACAAAACCTACCTGGACGAGACCTTCAAGAGGTACCACCGTTTAGAAGATACGTAGAATTCTGCATTATCCCTCTCCTCACGGACGTAAATACCCCAGGACCAAATGGGAAATAATTTATTGTTCTCTAAATAGCCGAAATCGTTTGCCCAGAAGGGGGGTCCATAAATGGCTTTGATGAAGGTTCCACGCTTTACAATATATGATCTTCCTTCAGAAGTAAAATAGCAAGAATTTCTACTCATTGTTAATGATTTATTTTATACTAAATGGGATGCTATTGCTCAAAAGTCTCTGAATAAAACTCGGTCTAGGGATTTCAACAGTACACACCAAAGATTTCGAAAGTATCTCTTTGGCGGTAACCCTGGGACCATTTTATCTTGGCGGATTTAGTCGTCGCTTGCTTACACCTCTGTACAGCATGTTGGATGTTGATTGGACCTCAAATGTAGACTGTGACCAGTTGCGTCGTCATCGTCCCAGTTCCTCATACGTTCTAAAACGCCGCCCTTTTCGCGCCCACCCAAGATCACTGACAACCAGCAGACAAACTGATTTCGTTTCCACTGATGTTGCGTCTCCCAGGGTCTCATCAGTATAACATTCGTTTCTTGCTCATAATACTTCCACAAGAAAAAGAATTTCTACCTAACAAGTGATACACAGTGATACACGCATCTCATTCGGAACTCACAACGACTGCCGACGAGTGATACACAGGTTTTGCATCTCATTCGGAACTCACAACGACTGCCACACCAAGCACAAGAGATGTTCATCCCCTAAGATTTGTACTAAACTCAAAGGTGAAACCGAGGATGAGCACAAAAGCATTCGGAATACACCGCCAAGCCGTGGTCGGTTTCTCCTCTACCCTATGTACGGATGAATACAATGGTCACCTTTCGTTTCCTTCTATTTTCTCCTGAATTCAGCGCGTTTTTTCTGGCATATTTGTCCACACTGGATCGGAAAGTCAGATTTCTCGTTCTTTTTTTAATTCTGTCTGCACTTGACTCCTCTACAAGGCGCTTTCAAAAGAAGGGCGGTTCATTCTACTCAGGCATGCCAACAGGTTTTTTGGTTTTATGTTTTCCACTGAAAAAGGCCCTTTAAACAGATACTAGTTGGATAATCAGAAAACCAACAGACGGTCAATGTACCAAGAAGTACCCCATACAGAGAACATCGTTTGATAGTCTCTATAACAGCTTCAGAAGAAACAAACTAGCTCTTGTTTTGTCTGTGAAATGAGGATGGAACCATTTGAGCTGTTTCAAGTATCTAATCGGCTTTTCAACACAGAGTTTCCCAGGGCAGAAAGTTGATAACCGGACCAGGTTCATTGTACTTCGCAGAATTGCAGTCGACAAAGAGTGTCTTGCTTCCGGCAATGCTCCAAGGGTTCGGACTTTTCACAAAAATGTGGACGGGGGCTTGAAACGTGACCTGAGGTTCGCTGGCTTCGTGAATTTGTGTAGAAAAGATTTTCACGTAGCTCAGAAATGGCGAGTGATTTTCAGGTGGGCTTTTACCGGAATATTCAACTGGGTTGCGTGAAGACAAAACATAAAAGACAGAGAATCGGATAAAAAAAACTGATGTGGAGAAAATACCTTGGAGAGCTTTTCAAGGAGACAGAAGGATAACTGAACTGCATAACCGAGAGAAAATAGGCCTGTTCGTTAATCACCCTACAGAATGATATCAAATTTAGGAAAGGCGATCAGCTGTAAGGTCGACAGACCAGTCGTGCGGTCGCATGCACACACGAGAATGTGAAGAACTTGTGTGGAAAGAGTCCTTTCACTGACAGGGTAAGGTAGTCGCAGAGCGTAAATACAACAAGTTGCCATAAGCAGTAAGAAGTTCGTCTCAATGACTTGGCGCAAACGAGTATGTTACCGGCACAATCCCTGAAAGCCGGAGAGATTCTTCAGTATGCCAGGGAAATTGAGGTTGTCCAAGAACAAAATGGAGGTAAATCTGGAGAATACAAAATCGTCCATTGATCAACAAGACATGAGTGGTTATAAGATGACAGATACACAAGTAAAAACAAGTCATTTGCACAGAGGTTTTCGAGAGTCAGAGTGCCCAATCCTCCCCTTGAAATTTCCTTAAAACCGTTTCACTTTTTGTGGAGATTTCGTCCCGTAAGTGAAGCCAATCTATGCTGAAAAGCCGAGAAGCACTGTACAGCTGATTCATCCTTATTGGGAATCATCAGCAGTGCGCATCTCACGAAACTCCGGTAGGAAGTCTCGAACCCGCGACCTCCTTGCTAGTAGTTGTGAACACTTAACCATTCGGCCACCAGTGGCTGAGCAGCAGTGTGATTAACTCGCATTCAGACAGGATATAGCGCCGCTCGTTCTTCAATCACGGGAGGTCACGGGTTCGAGACTCTTCGGAGTTTCGTGAGATGCGCACAGCTGATTATTCCCAATAAGGATGAAACAGCTGTACAGTGCTTCTCGGCTTTTCAGCATAGATTGGCATCACTTACAGGACGAAATCCCACACAAAATATCCCAAATCTCCTCACACTACCCACAATATATAGGTAGCTCAGTGGAAGAATAAACTTCACCCGATGAGTGAAACTTCTATCTGAGAAGTCGTTGCTCGAGGAGCCAGTCAACACGTGTGACCGCGTGATGTGGATCCCGTGATTGAAGGATGAGCGGCGCTATATCCTGTCTAAGTGCGAGTTAATCACACTGCTGATCAGCCACTCGTGGCCGAACGGTCAAGTGTTCAAGCTACTAGCCGGGAGGTCGCGGATTCGAGACTCTTCGGAGTTTCGTGAGATGCGCACAGCTGATTATTCCCAATAAGGATGAAACAGCTGTACAGTGCTTCTCGGCTGTTCAGCATAGATTGGCTTCACTTACAGGACGAAATCCCACACAAAATATCCCAAATCTCCTCACACTACCCACAATATATAAGTAGCTAACTGATGTATCACTCGCCAAATTAGGTCACTATCGACCAGTAGTGACTTAGAATCAACAAAAGAAACTTCGTTACTTCGTTTTTCAGTCCTGTCCAGTTGGTTCGTAAATAATTTTCCTCTGGAAGTCACATATATAGTTTACCGACCGGAAGTTTCCCTGGTGCAGTAGCGGGAAATTTCTCGCAGCGAACGAAAAGGCCTGCCAGAAAAGTCGTTGTATCCCTACGATTACCTCATCCGCCCAGTTAGCTGGAGCTGTTTGATATCCCCACTCTTTCTGGCTTGTCCGACTTCCCTATACAAACCTAACAGACAGACAACTCTCCACTACCTAACCACTGCTCATTTCCTCAGCGGCCTGATTTGACCAGTCGAAAAAATTCTCGCTCTAAAATATGGCTGTTACATGATCCACCCCCTTCCCTACAATTACACTTCCGTAACTCCTGCCTTAAAGCAGTCTTGCACAATAAAACTTCAGTAATATCAACACTCCGGAACTCTCCTCGATCAGGGGCTTCTTTCACACTCAATCGAACGCCAGTGTGACGTTTTCATGTGGACACTCTCGGACGCACACACACACATCTAAATTCACATACTATCACTGAAATTTAATCAGCCTGAACGCCGATCACATTCGGTCGGGCTTCCGTGGTGCGCAAGAACACTCATCACGTTTTGCTGAATTGATTGAATAATTGACTGGCCTGGATGCTTGCCGGCTTTCCTGTTGACATTTTGGTGGAGCAGTAGGTTCCGGGAGTTCTGAGGTTGCTTTCAGGAATCTGACCTTCCTGATACCTCCCCTTTTTGGCTTTTTTTTTGACGTGGATTAAGTTGTATAGGTTCCACCCTTTTTCTGAGGCGACCAGTACGGCGTCTTGGTTGCAGCAATGGATCTGTCTTGAGTGGTACATGCGAAGCAGTGACTATAGGTGCTGGTCTTGGGAGATCAAAGGGTTCAAGCAGTAGGTTGAGGTCTAGTTACTGTTCTTCCGCCTTTGGGACCTGGCACTCAGTCGGCCGTAATTGATTGACATGTCGTATCAATGATCCCACCTGGAAGCTGTAAATCACCTGACCGATTCTTTTGAGGACGACTTCAACAGTCCATCTTCGGTACCCGGGGCGATAGTCCCTGACAAGCACACGGTTGCCAGGCCGGCATGTTGGCTTTCCTCGGTGATTGAAAACAAGTAAGTGTTGGTAGGATAGCGTCATGGGTAAGCTTCAACCTTCTGTTCATCATAGCTTCTGCTGGAGAGCGACCGTCCGGAGACTTCTTTTGATTGAAATCTTTATGTTTTCATTTTTAATGAACAGGTATACAGGTTGGCACGGTCGTTGGTCTGGCGTTAGCCGGTTTCCTCTGTCAGCCACGCTTGGCTGCAGATGGTACCACCTTCGTTTCTCACTGGGACGTGACACATTACCTCTTCGGCAGTGTTGGCCTCCTTTCTCTGATACTATGGTACTTCATCGTCTATGATGCTCCGGAAAGACATCCAAGGATAAGTGCAAAGGAACTGAAGTTGATTAATACGTCGCTCTGGGGAGTGAGTGTGGTTAACTTTGTTGACCCTAAGTTAGCCTTATTTTTTCACACCTACATCGGTCCTTTAAAAGAGGGTGCTCTTCATCGGGGCTACCCTAGCTTTCCGTGTCAGTTTAATCTTTCGCCTACCTCACAAGAACGAAAGCGCTCTCCATGGGGGCCAAAAAGCCCTTGGATCAATTTTTGGATCGCCTGGAACGTCCCGAATAGTCATGTGTAATCGATGGACAACATTGTGGTCAACGAAAAAAGGATTTGAGTGTCACGTTCAGTTGCAGTACTACAGAAATATTCGTTATCATGAACTTTTAACACGAGTCGCCGTGAACAAGTGCCAGATAAATGACGAACGTTTTGATGAAGCGTGCCTCCCTAAAACGAACTTCTGTGCGACCAAAGTTGTTGGAGCTATTAGCGGAAGAACGAAGGCCTTTTCTGCGGAGTTGTTCATTAGAGGAACGTTTGGATGGAGCGTGCCTCCCAAAAACGAACTTTTGTACGATCAAAGTTGTTGGGGCTATTAGCGAAAGGAAGAAGGCCTTCGCTGCGGAGTTGTTTATTAGAAAAACACCAACTGGACAGTTACAGACTATCGGACAGTGGTACAAAACTCTCATATGCATCTTGTTCACAAAAGCTGAATATCCGTCCCCCTCCTTGAACGCGTCTTCCTGAACTTTCCTGGATATTCATTCACTGTTTCTCAAATGCAAGCAAACGCCACAAAGCGACTTCACCAATTCCGTAATAGATGTCACTTGTCAAGAGACGCGAAGCGGATTTACGAGTTGATACTACTTGCATGCCTCATCAGTAGTATCCACCGTTACATTAGTATTTACTTGGTTGGGGTTTCTTTTGTTGAATACGCGTCACTCAGTTATACCTTCCAAAGTCATCGCACGAGACTTACCGATTGAATTAAAGTGCTATTGAAATTCGAAACAATGTGGATCCAGGCTAGATTTCTGGATATATATCACTTAAATTCTCTTTCCGTGAATCACCTCAAGACCATGGTTAGCAGAAATGAAAGCTCCACAACCCAGAAACTACAATCTTTGTTTGTCTTAGTGGTTGTTTTCTCCGTTTCGAATCATTTCGTTACTGTATATCGCTTTTAACTAACGAAATTCGTCCTAAAGGTCTAGATTCACCCTTGTGCCTAATTTAGCAGTAAAGTGATTGATTACAGGTTATGGTTACGACAGCTTCTGGATCAGTAGCTGTCCAGTGGAAGGGCCGGGGGTCTCCTTTCATGGTTTATCTACTGAACCCAAAGAAATATTGGTATACTCATCCTTAAACCAAGTACCAGTATAGTTAGACGTGGTATTCATTGATGACTCTTTATGGGTCCTGTTTGGTACGTCCTGGTCTACATTAGGCACAGAAATGGTAGAGAATTACGAATCAACTGATCAATCAAAGTTACATATCGGTCTGTCTTAAAACGGTGCATCCTGGAATAGATTGTTCTGTCGTGTGAGACCGCCGTGCGCAGAAAGGTCGATCGAAGAAGACCACAGGCAGCACAGTAAGAGACCTCAGAAAATCAGGGATTGGTTGAGTTTAAAGAGCGGCTTAACTTGACATTTGACACGTCATTTTGGACAGATCTCATTCCATACAAAACAGGGGTGAATTATACGCCAGGTATTGGTGTAGAACTTGGAACCATAATGACTGCTCAGTGTCTATCAAGTAAACAGCTGGGGGAACTGGCCACCAAAATGGACTGAATTCCAGCGGAGTTTGTGTTACACAAGAATTCTAACGTGAACCCTAAAAAACGGGAGGTGAGACCTCTAACGATGGATGGACAAAACTGGTTCAGCTAGCTGCATTTGATAGCGAGAAGTTGTAGAAGACTGATTTTCAACACTCTCGTTTTAACCGTTTTCCAGTCCTGCTGTAATTATGAAGGTGCTTTCAAATCAAACCGAGGGTAAAACTGAACTCAACTGTTCCCCATCTCAGAGTCCATCAGGGGATGTATATCCTTGGCCGTGCTGTGAGCTGGAAGCAGGATATCCGTGGCGAAGGGGTTACCACTACTTCACGGAATTGAAAAATCACATATGGATGGTGAGGGCCTCGAAGTTTGAGCGGAGTAATTGCATGAGAACAGGAAGTGGTTTATTCAGACAAGAGTTTTGTGAATTTGCAGCAGCCAATCGGTCCACACCGATCCCCTTGTTTAGCGAATTACTGCATTGAAGTTAAACTTACTTTTACAAGGAATGCAGAGAGAAAGATGCAGTATCTTGTTTACGGAGCGCTGTCAGTTCGCCTGAGACTAGAATGGGGTGCTTTGTCAGTTTGTCTGAAATATCATCACCTAACTTTTTCGTTGGCGATTTTTTGGTCTGAACAGGACAGTGCACGCAGTTTGAGTTCTTTCATCTAAATTCTCTTTCCTTATCCCCATAGGTCACTCAAGTGTCACCCAGTGATTCAACACAAGTACACGTTTGTGACAAAACAGTGTAAGTTTTTTTTCGCATTTGTATACCTATTTTGTTCGACTAACGTTCAGGGGTTCTAAGGGAAGATCGAGGTGATAATTAGTGCTGGATACATAACGCGCTACTTCCGGCTGATTCAGTAGTTTAGAGTTTTTGATGCTCACATGTGACATGATTATCGCTGAACTCGCAAAATGAATGCTTACTGTGACGAAAATCAATCAATCTGTAACACGGACAGTCACAGATTTTGTCAACAAAAGCTGACTGTCACGATAAGCGAAATATCGTGGAAAAGCTGTTGCTGCTTTATGAAAATTTTGGCGACGCCGTTTCGCTTCACTTACTGAGTTTGTTAGAAGTTGGGGTCGTTGGGCTGGATTCGGGCTACAACCGACTGAACTTTGGATCAATCCTGTACTCACCAATCTCCACCAGTTTGCTAGTTAGCTGTTCACCTATTCGCAATAACCTCAGCGAATTTCCATATCGCTTTATCCAAATTGTCATTGACCTTCAAGTAAGATTTGAGAAATCTCAAGCCATGAAATCAGAATCGCGGTAGTTCTTGGTCCATCGTCATGTCTAGCCATTCCACATGCTTACCACAACTAACCGTCCGTTCCGTGGAGGTTCGTCGAAAAAAGCGACCGACCTGCGACCCCTGAAGAAATGCAAACACGGAGTTGAAGCCACGGGTGAACTTTGAACATCAGGTGACTACCAAAGTCTGACGAGCAACCTCACTCGTATGCACTGCAGTTGCCAGTCAGAAATCCTTCCCTTCCCACCGTCTTTCGTTCGTTATCCTCCACGTGACCCATGTGACTCTGTTATCGAGCGATTTCACGTTCAATATTCATTATTTTCCGTACTGCTGGTCTTTGGTCAGCTGAGGGTTTTCACAAAAGCGTTTCTTTCAGCTCTCTCGCTATGCGAGCGTTCTTCCAAAACTCACAGTTTCTGGACATCACACGTTGGAAAAGAACATTTTCCGTCAAAAGGGCACGAATTTGGCATCGTACGCCAAACTAACCAGTTGACTTTGTCTTGGTTTTGACTCTTTTTTTTCGGAAAAAGGCCGTGATGATTGTGTCGAGTACACTCATCATTGCAGGTAGTTTCATTGCTCTCATTCAATGTCCTGGAAGTATGAGTAAACAATGGCCAAGTGTATTTGGAATTTCCCAACTCTCTCTGCGCTCAAGTGTCTCTTTGTGCTCGGAAAACACTGCATAAACCGTCTGTCTTGGTACCTATCTCACGCACTTTCTCTTAAGATGTCTGGCGGACTAATTAAGCTTGCGGTTCACAACTACTCAGCTGATATATCTGCAAGTGACGAGGTAGTGAGCGCGACTCTGCCGAGTTGAAATCCTGCCTGAATTCCTTGAACCTATGTCACACTTCCTTCAGTTAGATATCATACCAGGAAAGCTGGCATTTATGCTAGGACAGGCGTACTTATCACGTCTTTATCACCCATCGGCAGTTTGTCTAGTTACATACTAAACAAAGTATGATGCCTGGTGGGCTCCGGTTCTGAAAAACGCACTCTTGTTTCTCTTATTACCACCGGAGAATGATGAGAGGGGGTGTCAACTCACATGCCACGTTTGTAAACGGTCTGGTCGAATAAGGAAAAGTGTACACAGACTCTGATGATACTCCGCCAGGTAATCCAGTTCCCCGTTTTTATAACCTTGACGGCTGGTGTGCAGATTGTTTTTCCAATTAACAGTGGTCAGACCATTGGACACGCGCGCGTTCCAGGAAGTTACAGAGGGCATGTGCAGAGCCCAGTATGGCGCAGCGTGCTGGCCGTCGACACGCTCGATGTAAACTCGAACGTACTCGGTCAACGGGGAGGTGTGCGGAGGCCTGTTTCAAGTTTTTATTCAGGCTAAAAATGATGGCGTAATAATGGTTTCCGGTCCTTGTCAATTAATTTAGGTTTCATCGTAATGTCATACCTACAAGGCGCAAATAAACCTGAAGCCACCTGTTAACATACTGTCAAGGTCGTATTCCAACAACTGCACTTTTAATTTGTCATCATTTTTAAGAGAAAAGTGTCAGGTGGGCAGTTATTAGGAAGGAAAGTCAACATATCTAGATTGCTGAAGGTTATGCTTATCACGTGGACCAGCGAGGACGCCGGTGAAACAAAAAGCCGACGCTGGTAAGGTGTAAGTCCACATGGCTGAGACTGCAACGGAGAGATACAGACTGCTCAGCATGGTTCACTCGTTTTCCAACATTTCAAAAGGGCATATCTCAAAGCTTTCCACACCCCTGACTAGACAGACGTTCTTCATACCGTTCTGCCGAGTGTAAGGTCCTCTCATAGTATGGAATATCCATCGCGCGTAAATATTTTACAGGACATATTAGGACAAACGATAACCAAGGGTCTTTTTTCAGATTAGCTTGGAAAATGTTCCATTCTCCTAACTTGCAACAATTCATTTTAGTTCTTGAATTTTCTGACGAGATGACTCTATTTTAGTAGACGAGTTACGTTTGAACCGATCAGTTACCCGAATTAGTTTGACTTGACTTCAAAGGATAGCTCGTCACATCTAGAATTCGCACTGACCGTCAAGCACAGATACGGGCAATATCTTCTGGAAAGTAGCTTGCAGTGCATTGCAACAAGGTTCCCTGAGTCTGTTTAAACTTTAAATCAAAGAACATTGTTCCGTGAAACACTATACCTTCTTCTTCGACTAAAGGGGAAAACTTGGGGGAAAACTAAACCGGGAATACACTATTAACTGAATGTAACTTTGTACAAGGGAATGGTTAACGTTGAAGAAATGGAATTCGCTGTTTGCTGTGGCGGTAATGTGATCATATCATGTTCATGTCTGTTTGGCGGCACGGATACACCCAGTAACAAAACAGCCATTATCGTTGTGAGTTATCACTTGTAAGCCCTTGTGCAAATCGTTCGATTACCACTGCATTCTGTATTTGCATCCTAGACATGAAAAAATCCGGTCTGAATCAAAGAATTGCGTTGTTCTGGGAGCAGTGGGGTGTGCATATCAAAGGGTTGATTTTCCCAGTGCCTGTATTCAATACTCACACCTGTTTGTTTACGCTCAGGTCGGGTGAATCCAACGAAAACTTGACGAATTCCAAGTTGAATCAGGAAAAAGCCGAAGTGAATGCGTTTCAAACCTCTGTCCCATGGCTAAGCTTACTACGCTGTCGCGCATTTTGGTCTGTGCTTATATGTCACGTGACGCACAACTGGTCCTTCTACACGTTGATCACTTGCATACCAACCTACATGTCACGCGTTTTGGGGTTTTCCATGTCTGACGTAAGTCTGTACGATTTCAATCGACAAAAAGTTTCGCTTCTACATGGTTTTATTAGACATGCAACTCGCCCATGCGTGGCTCAACAGTAGCTAAAAACATTCCCGGCTCAGCAAAGAGGTCAATATATGAGCGACACATTACAAACCTCAAGTCTCTATTTATCTGTAAGTTGTTAGACTTTGGACACAAAAGCGTTATCGGTACAACAAAGAACCTCGGAAACCTAAAGGCTTCCTCTTTAATGAAGACTGTCCTGTAAATATACAGACTATGGTTGTACTCTAATTTGAAAGACCTCAGAGTATTCCAGTTGAGTCTTTCTCATCAGAGAAATTTCAGTTGCGCTTGGGCATCTTTTTGAGATAAAATCGTCGCAGTTTAAATTTTATCTGGATTTCAGAATGGTTTGTTGTCCGCCTTCCCCTACCTGGTCCAATGCGCGTATGCCCAGCTAGCCGGATTCATCTCAGACGTGTTGATAAAACGAGGCAAGCTGTCGACTACCTGGGTGCGCAAATTGAACAACTGCATTGGTAGGTTTATACCGATTCTAACCTTAACGATTTCGACAAAAATCTCAAACTTTCTTAATCGACAGTCTGGAGTCCTGACTTGAATCACGTGCCCTTGTCTTCCGCTTTTTAGTGTTTATTTTGGTTTCTACTCAAATTCAACCTAGTAGCTTAAAATATTTATGAGAATTTGGGAACTGAGGTTCATCAACGCGTTCACTAAAGACACGCTCTGACAATATCGTTCCCAAACAGATGAGACAGACGCAGGTCAAGAAAGGGTGCAATCAAAATATCGTGAAAATATGTAAAGTAAAAAGCTGCGGCCCCGGAGGAAGGGGCAGTTGAGAACGCTGTGTTGAACCTGAATTTCTCTCAGTCTAGGCTGAAGTGTGGAGCAGACAAGTATGGAAAGGTACGTTTGTGTGACAGTTCGTCCCGGTTGGTATGTCCTTCTTTAGCTTGAGCAAAATTGTCGATGGCGATTAATCGTGACATTCTCTGGACATTTGGATCAACAGCTTTTTAATGTTTTTGTAATAACGATGTCATCCTTTCAAGCGCGAAAGTATCAAATTCAAGCTAACGTGGCCTGTTTGTGGCAAATCTTTCAGTTGCGTACAATATGCGCTCAACCGGAAAATAGTCAAGAATTGGCGGGGGTAGTGGAACTTCATTTAAGTGGGCTTTCTTCAGTTCTAGTTATATTGAGTTGAATTTTCTGAACACATCTGTCTTTCATGCTCCCAAATTAACGATTCTGAAAAGGTAACGACGCCTTAATTCGCATTACGATGGTTGGAATAATCAAAATGTCCCACCGTTTAGGTGGAAAAATTTTCGCGTTTGAACAAAGGTCTTTCCCAATCCCGTTAAGACTACCTTTTGTATTTCTTGCGTAGCTTTAGGCAGGCACGTATACTGCACTAATTTCACCCGTTTCGGGTTATGATACAAATTTACTGGCCGGAAGGTCCGTGGTTCGGACCCGGCCTCTACCTCTCGACTTTCCTGTCTAGGCTTGGTCAACCTGGTAGTATCCCACCCTTCGTGCTTCCCTCTAGTGGCATGACGGCTAGGCACTAAAAGAGTGCTACAGCTGAACGGTTCTTTCATTTTACCTGCCCGAGACTTCGTGGAGTATACCAGTGCAGTCAATTCATATCGTCGCAGATCACCATGATACTAAAAACCACACGGGTGGCCGCCCCAGAAAGAAAGGGGGAATATAAATGTGTCATCAATACACACAAAAAATGTGTCCACAAGTGGTCTTTGAAAGATCCGAGGCGAACAAGTTGGACCTAGCAATCAAAATTTCTCTCGACGAGACAGAAACATGTGGTGATAGATAGAACCTACTGTCAGTTCAGTGACAAACAGGTAAATGGTAGTTTTCTTCAGCAAGTTCGAACTTCAAACTGGAGTCGAAAGCAGATGAACACCACTGCGATTAATTGCTATCACGTCACCGAATTTGACAACGGAGAGTTCCAATTCAGATATTCCTTGGTCTGCTCGTTACGTGACTTGGTTTGTTACTTTTTGGCAGCATTCTGATCTGTGTTTGGAAAAGACGCTAGTGGTGAATGAACCCAGTCGCCGCGCGTCTATAAAAATCCAACCCGGAGAAAAAACATCAAGATCCACGAATTGAATCCCTCCGTACATCAAGAACGTACCCAAATTCATATCGAGCCTCTCACATTGGCAAAAGAGTACAACGCAATTATCAAAAGACGTGAACCTCTGTATTCTATTTCCACAAATGTAAGATTAAAGGGGTATCTAGGAAAAGTTAGAGACCGTAGCACGCAGATATACAAGACACGAGGGCGAATCCCTAGAAGCATGGTACTCTGCCAAAAGATTCTTTCAGCCGGCATGTCGAAACCAACCCTTTCTATATAATGCTACGAACGAGAGACTGTAAACTGGATGTAAATACTGCCAGCCTTGGGAATCGGATCAACGTGTCGAAAAACAGGACTCACTCTAAAAACAAAACAAAGGTTACGGAAAGGAGAGCCGGAGATATCAGATTTCAAGGCTACCTGGTTGCCCACCAATCATAAAACAGGCCAGTCAAAAAGCCAATAGGAATGCTCACCCGAAAAAGGATCAGTGATCATTCAAGGTCGACCTGGGTGATAAAAACTCGGTATCAATTCATGCGTGTGCAAGAATCATACACTTGCACTCTCGATGCAATTCCACTCGAAACGCACTGAATATCCCAACTTGACTGGTAATGAAACCTTTGCAACAGAACTGGTCAGGTTTGAGAACAAATCAACAGGCATTAATTTGCATGTGCTTTTAGCGCAAGCCTCGGGGATGTCTCTGGTCAAAACTAACGCGATCGTGGCTGGGATCCAAAAAAGCTAGCCAATCACAGTGCTGGGATTTAAAATTCACGTTACAAAATGCAACCGCAAACAAATAAAATTCCTTTGCGAAACCGAGCTTTATCTGACTTTTCGATGTCTGAAATCTTTTACCCTCACTGCGTTTTCTTTAATGGTTAGCGCTTGGCGGAATCGGTCTCGGTCTTCTCCTCGTCGGCTACACTGGATGCAGCCGCACGGCATCTGTCTTGATCTTTGCCACAGCAATCGGACTGATGGGTTCTGCCAGTTCAGGCTTTGCCGCAAACACGATGGACTTGGCTCCACAATTTTCCGGTGAGGCTTCTTGACGGTTGCTCCTTACATTATGTTAACTACATGCATCTAAACATGCAACAGAACCATTGTTCGTCTGTTTTAACGCCTGAGTAATAGAATTTTTCGACTTTTAGTCAGCAAATATTTAATATTTGTGATTTTGTGCGTACACGCGCTTTTAAATACAACAATTTGTTGAAAAACGCGTGCAAATACATGGTTTTCTCCCCATAATCTAAAATCAGACGCATAGTCCAATCGTCGAGCGTAGACCATATGTGATTTGCTTCTATTGTGAGACGGCTTGGAGGCAAATATCAACCTCCTCACGTAAACTTTGAATTTTATCTCAATCTTAGACAGTGTTCAAAAATTCTGAGAGTTGCCTATAAAATATTGTCACGTGACAAGGATTGGATGGAACTGAAGTTAAAAATCGAACCTCAGGTAGAAATAAACTCCGTGACTGCACCTTCTTTGGTATTCCGTTAGCATTAGGTTGGTCCGAAAAGGGTTGCATTTTGCGAATTTCTTACTATTTGTGTTCTACCGGAACAGTAGATTGGCGGAAACTCGGGGACTATGCCCATTTGATGTGCCTTAAGAAGCGGAATAGCGGTCGTGGGCCGCTGAACGGTCTTCATTAACCTTGTGAGTAGTGTTTCTCCGGGAAAATATACTGAAATATCTCGGATATCGTTGCAAATAAAACTTTTTGCGCCAAAGAATACCACTAACGAAGGTCTCAGATGAATCCCTCGTTAAGACCGATTAGGTATGCAAAAATTATGGCTGTTATTCAGCATAACGATCTTCAATTTAGATATTTCATGTGCATAGCTTCCAACTGACCACATTCTTCTTGGAGTGACGGTCTGTCAACAACTGGTCGCCCTACTGAACAAACTTACCCGAAAGCGTTGTAGCCTAACGCCACAAAATCGACTCACGGCGAAATAACCTACCATTCGCGGTATTCTTCAGATGAATATGGTGCACAAAGGCCGCGTTGTGTTCAACACAGCTGGAACTCGGCTGCTGTTTAATGTTATCACCAAGTTGGTGTGCAAATGAGGGTAAAGCTGGGGTTTAAGTAGAACGGAAAACTAGGAGACTATGACCTCTTGCTGGGCCCCAAAGAAGTGCGAAACAGGTCTGTCGAAATGTTTTCAGCGACCATATGAGTAGTATTCCTCAAAAAGTTCACGCTCATTCTTAAAGTTGTGCACGTAGTTATCGATTCGTACAAAAGTTTCGCATAGTTCCTAAAGCAGTACCCACGAGATGAATTTTGGAACTTGTTTTTTGTGAAAATTGGCATGGTTGATTAGTTAAAAGCTGTTTCATGAGGGGGCTATTAACTGGTAGGATAATCGGCATAAAACGTGACTGGGAAAATACGTGATTGGGACTCTAAGGGGGAACACCTCAAATAGTATAATGTAGATGGTGGACCTAGCAAGGTCATTATTGTATCACTTTGGAAATTCGCCTTCATTTGTCTTCATTCCAGGTGTTATTACCTCGTTGACAAACTGCGTAGCTACCCTACCCGGAATATTTGGCCCCATGCTAGTCGGATATGTGACCAAAGATAGCGTGAGTCCAGACCGTTCAAACTTTTTATTCATTCTTTCTCTTACCCACCAGTCTCGCGAGTTTAATTCTCAAGTGAGACAGATGAAGAGTGACCGAAACAAAACTATCTGTCTCCTTACGTCCCTGTTTTTTATCACATACCGGTTCTACGTCCGCATTCGCCATCAAGCAGTTGACCAGAGAACAGCTCAAAATTTGGGTGACTTCCTTTTTTCTTAAAGCAGCTTAAATAAGTTGCGAAGATAAAATGATCAGTGATGCACAAATCACTCTCATTAAACCACGACCAGTTCGTTCGAAAAGGTTTACGAGATGAGGGCTTCCACAACACTCAATTTTGACATAATCAGGCTCTACACTCGCTACTACTATATCGCCCTCCGGGTTTCACTCAGTGCACTCCCGTCCAATAGAGGCACCGAATTTTTGCAAGAATAGAAAACCACCGTCATCAGCCTCTTTTCGAGCTTGTGCGTGTCTCAGACGGGTAAACATCACGAACACAATCGTTCTGTCCCATAAGGTTTCACAACAGGACAGCTGAGTCAGATAATCTCAATGCATTTGGCCGTACTAGGAGCGAAACCAGCGGGATGCTGAAAAAATGGAATGGTCACGAGGGACCAATGCGAGCTCGCCAGCTAAACGGCCGATGGCTATCGGTTTTATTTTACTAGGTTATAGGAGGATCGTCCTAGGTTGATCGGCACCTGCCTGTCACACTCACGAATCCGAGTGGGAATGGTGACCGCGGGTTCCTTTACAGTGCTGCATACGTCAAACGAAGGTGCGGAAATTCGGTATGCCAGTTTGATGGTCGGAGAAATGAGCGAAATGGCCGGACTTTGAAGCAGACAATCGAAGTCAGGCTGGATTGATCATGCATTTGCCAATGCAGAGATCTTCATCCGAGATATTTTCGACACAACCCAAATGCCCAATCCAACATAGCATTATACAGTATTGTGTGGAGGAAGTACAAATCTGTTTTACTGAGATACTTCAGTTACGTTTCAGCCAAATCCGTTTTACAGCACCCGTTTACAACATGCTTATTTTTACTTCGATTTTCGCCTGTTTCATTTTTGAGTGACTCAAATAATTATAAACGCAATGCACTACTCATAAGGTCGCTCAAAATTCTTCAACAGCCCACGGCCGGTTTTGCCCTTCTTGGGGCTCATCAGGCAGACGCAGTCCCCGAGTTTTTGTCAACCTTATGTTCTAATTGAAACCAAATTGCACAAAATTAGCGCCTACCTGATGAGCCCCAAGAAGGGCGAAACCGGTCGTAGGATGTCGACGAATTTCCAGCAACCTTATGAGTAGTGTATTACGAATATACATGTATCGCGATATCTCAAATATCATGGCGACTGAAATATGAGGCGGCCTGGTGCAGCATATTCAGTTGCGTGGAAACATCACAAACGGGAGATTCATCTGGGTTCCAGGTGAGAAATTCTCAAAGCCGCATGCCTAACAGTCATTTCATTCCCGTCACTCTCATATTTGCTCGCTTTCAAGTATGCACTTGACTGACTTACCCGTACCTACGTCCTAAATAGTAGTTGGCACGAACCTCAACAGGAAAAATGACGGTGATTGTAGGTCGTTGGGAGATAGATAGAATTTACGTTTTGCACCATTGTCGTTCAAACAGATCGCTCCTGCCCTCAAACCATTATCCTGGTGCTTGTGCATCGAACTGGAGAGTAAAAGGACTCGCAATTCATTGGTCACATTACAATTACCTTCTCTTCAGATTCTCGTCACCTCATCGTGCAGCTTCAGTCCGGTCGGACCCCAAGCACCATAGCTACGCAGGACCGTCCGTTCTTCTCGGTTACAAGGCTCAACACGATTCCGGCCTGACCACGTCCCCCTAACTAGGTTAAATGCTAGTAGTGAAAAGAAGGTCTTCTCTGCGGAGCTATTTATTAGGAAATGTCAACTGACTAGACTATTGGACAGGGAAGCAAAACTCTCATTTGCATCTTATTTACAAAAACTGAACATCCATCTTCCCTTGGACGCGTCTTCCTAAACTTTCCTGAATATTCATTGACTGTTACTCAAATCCAAGCAAATGCTACAAAGTGGCTCCACAAATTTCCAAGAGACGCAAAGCGAATTTACAAGAAACCATACTACTCGCACGCCTCCCCATTAGTAGTATCACCGTTATACTAGTAGACATTGAGATTTTGACCCGTTAGTCTGCGCTGAAAAAGTCGAGAAGCACTGTACAGCTGTTTCATCTTTGTTGAGAATCATTAGCAACAAAATTCCAGGTAGTCTATCTCGTGATTTTCTGGCTAGTAGATTGAACGCTGAATCTTTCGGACAGGGGTGACTGATCAGTAGTGCATTTCACTCGCACTTAGATTGGACATAGTGTCATTCGTCTTTTAATGTTGGTGTTTTACTTATTTTTTGAATTAACTCTCCCCTTAAATACCGTACGCATAAGGCTTCTGCACGTTTCCATAGAGAGGCGTGAAAGTCACCTTCGTTTAACCGATGCCACTTTGTTTATTTTGTAGAACGACGGAACCCAAATACATAATTCGGTTTATGAGCTCTCGGTTCATACTAAGCAAACTGGAGAGGATATCAGGATTTGTGGCGAAAACATTCTTCCTCCCGGTATTTATTTCCCGTCCAACCTTAGTTGCCTGTACGACCAGGGGTGGGATGTACGTCTGTCGGGTCTTCACTTGGGACGACTATATAATTAGCGTAATGAACGTTCATGGTCCGTTTGCAAACTTCTAGGAGCATGCGACGTTACCAAATCAGTCAGGTCATTCAAAGGTATCGGCGAAGATGGACAGGTTTTCAAACATCGGAACTTAAAGCAAACGCAGTCGGCTGTTCCCCTTATTCTCAGACGTAAGATTCTGCGCCTGAGTAGTAGGATATGATAAAATTCAGCTTTCGAGACTGCCCAATGCCACTGTCTAGTTCTGGCCAGGAGTCTGTGTCCTTCTCGTGACACGTGAAACTAACACATGGTTGAGTATCACTCGCCATCTCGCGTTATCGTCATCTGGCCCACATGGTCTGTCAGTTAGCCCACAATCCACCGCGTTCTGTTCGCACGACTGTCGGTTCGCCATGCCACGATGAGGGAGCATATGTACTTTTCATAAGGTTTCTCATGATGCTGTCATGTACTAATAGACGTAGATGATGACCATCCCAAAAATACGTGATCTTCTAAAGGGTTAGTTCTGGTGTGCAGCTTCATTGTTCACTATCCAACTGCTAAACTCAATGTACAATTCAACAAGCTCACGTGATGATGACATCGATGACATCGAAAACTACAACCACAGTTTCCGAGGTAGTGACATTGCCCGCACGACACTGACATCAACAAGTTCGATTTCAGGGCTGAGTAGACAGAGAATCACTGTTTCGCAAGCCAGTCTGGAAGTCCTTGAGATTAGCAAATCACGGAGGTTCACTAACTGATTAGGTTAATAGTGGGGAACAGACGATTATCACCAATTGTGATCCAACTTCTATACCGAATATCAGTACCCTATTTCTACTATCTGTCCCATTTCATCACATCTGTCATTCATTTGGCCAAATCTATTTGGTGTCTCCGAAGAGCAAGATAGAAAGGGATGCCATGATTAACATCATTTTGTTCGTATAGAAGCGTAAAACAAAGAAATATTTACTTTTACAGTGACAGGGGTGCATTTTCTGAGGACTTTTATTTCTCTTTTTAGTCGAGTTTGAATAACTGGAGGATCATCTTCGGTGTCTCCGCCAGTTTGGCTTGGTTTGGAGCACTTTGCAATCTATTTATGACCAGTGGTCGAAGGCAACACTGGGCCGATCCGAGCATGCGCGAGAATGGGTCATCCAAGAGGCCCGCATGATGGTTTTCGAATGATATCCATCCAATCGATCACACCCCAGCATCCACTCTCATTTTAGTCGTTACATGGCTCCGAAGAATACGTCCAAACACACTGTTTCTGTGATGATTTTGCAACGACTTTTTCATACTCCGAACATATCGCTAAAATTCTGGTGACTTTTTTCCTAATTCAAGAATCAGTGAATTTGTACCAGGCAGGGCGAGGAAATTACATTTTTTATTGATTGATATTTCTTGTTCTTCAAAGTTTGGTGGGCAGTGTTGCTGACGTTGTTGGAAGATGAGGAGAACACAGCATAATGACGAAAACACAGGGCATCACCACAGGTGGACCTCCGGAGAAACATCCTCTGGAATGTATTATGCCGTCAGGCTGTCTGAGTGTCTTGTGAACTCAAGGCTTGGGTTACCGTCAACCCAGAATGAGACAACGAAAACAAATGTGTGTCAATAGATGCAAACGATGCAAATTTAGACGTGGTGTTACCTGAGAGGTCGCCCGCTATTCTTCACCAGTCGATCGATCGAGTCTCTCCTTCAAGCTATACCGACCCAGCTTCTAAATGGCTTACAACAACATCGTTCGTAATGCCAGTGGCCGCACTATGCTTATCATGGCGAAAGAGTGATTTTGGTCGGCGTGTTCTGTCTTGTTTCATGATGACACATTTTACCCACGTGAGTGTGCTGTCTAGCTACTCATCTCAATTACGCCATTCGCGCGCTGGACGCTCCAGCACACCATGAAAGAACAAGTTTAAATAAACAAACTCATGTGTTGGTGGTCAACAAAACTGTGGAATTGACTTTCAGTGCGAACGCTGATCAGAGGGTAGATAAAATTCTGCTGCAACGGGCAATCACCAGGTGGTTTTGTGTTCAGCCAGCTCCAACAAAACCTCTGGTAATTCTGGGGAATTCTACATTGCAACTTGGAAGCTTCACATCGTTCTGGCAGCAATTCCCTAACAGATGAGGTTAGAATCCATTCTGGGTTAAGGAGTATATGTGTGTGATTACAAGTAAACATTTTTCGATTGCATGCGAGAATTCACGTGTTCGATTTGAGTAAGTTCGGAAGCTGATGCACGAAGCAACTGTACAATCTAACCTGCCAGTATAGGATCACCTCTGCCATGGTGGATGAGCCTTCGGCGTTCCATCCCATGTATGCGTCCACGAACCACGTGAGTCTGTATGTTCTCCCAATCAATCGGTAGTGTGGCATCGTCGTAAACGGACGCGGTGTGATTCGCAAACCACGGACAATTTATCAGCCAGTAGTCACCAGTGAGAGGAAGACCGCCTTCGCTGCGGGGCCTTTTATTGGAGAAACACCAACTGAACTGTTACAGACTATTGGACAGGGAAGCAAAGCTCTCATGTGCATCTTGTTTACAAAAACTAAATATCCATCTTCCCCTTGAAGGCGTCTTACTGAACTTTCTTGGATATTCACTGATTGATCCTAAAACAATGCTACGAAGCGACTCCACAAATTCCGTAATAGATCTCACTTTTCAAGAGACATCAGGCGGGTTTATGAGGAGACACTACTCGCATGCTTCATCAGTAATATCAACCATTAAACTGGTATTTTCCTGGTCTTTTCTGAATGATGTTTTGAAGAATTTTCAAAAAGAATTTTTGAATTTCACATTCATAGGAATCAGCTCCGCCTGATTAACCGCTGTTAGATTTCTCTCGATGAACGGTGCGTGAAAATTTTCTCAAAAGGAGCTGTAATTACCACTTGTCAGAAAATTCCGAAACGGTCGAATCCTTACGCTGTTATGCTCAAGTTATCAAAATGACTGGATTATTTGTGTCAATATGCTCTATGAGTATTCCACATTCAGAGTATAGACACAATGAAAGCTAGCTAACGCAATATTGCCACATCAGACAGAAAAATTTGAAAAAAGCTACACCCCCAATTGAAACATTGCATAATCTCGGTGTTGATTGACGAATTGTGTTGTGCTGGGAGGTCAGATACTAGGTGCATGTTTCCGGTCGAGAAGTCGCAGAGTCGGAAGAAACCAACGAATGACGCACACAGATAAAATTGGTACTTACGCTGGTCCGTGCGACGCGGTGTGTAAGGGCGCAGTATGTGAGCTATTCCACCAACAAAAACAGACACAGGAAGCTAGTCTGAAGGGACTACCCTACACCCGCCCTATCTTTGGGCACGGCTGCCCGGTTCAGCTTTGAAACGGTTATCGTACACTAATGGAGCCTTTCACGAAGCTAACAGACAGGGTGTTTTGTTTTGCTGATACGGTTATGCAACGCTGAACAGCTCCATTATCTGGATTTGGCTTGAAATCGTTCACACCAACCAATCTACCATAAGCGATAGTAATCCACACTAACTTCAGTTGTCAGCCCCTAGATTAGGCAACACAAACACTCAAATCACGTGACAATTCCTGCCCCACCTCGCTGCAACGGTAGTTCAACTCTCTATCGGTCCCTTGGCTTCCAGCTCCGCCCACTACGGTGTATCGAAAGACACCATACCTCTGGACAGCCCTTTAGGGGGACAAAGGAAAATTATTACAGCTGCATTTATAGGGTAATCACCCAGTGTTCCATAAGGTCATGCTGTAGTCCGTGTGAGAGGGGGAGAAGCGTCGAGTCAAAGATGCTCGATTCGGATTGGCTGGCATTCCGACCAATCAGGACATGCCTTCGTTTGGTTCCTGTCCTGCACGTGACATCCATCCAAATGATGTGGTGTTCGGCTATAAAGGACGGCTGGCCTCTGGACACAAGGATAAAACTTCGGTCACATAAGAATGAGTTGCTGGTCGGTAAATTGGTCGATAATTTTACGGAATTGGTTCATATGGGGTCCACTCTGCCTTCCTCACAGGCCGGTTGAAGCTTTTCGTTTTTACTGCCTTGACGTCTTGGTTATCTACAGGTCGGATAAACGCCCTCATATCTACTACTTGCAGACTATGTAAGAAACCATTTGTGCTGGTCATTATCCGTGTATATTGTGCGCTAGCATTGTGTTGTTGTCGATCTAAACACCACTTGGCGGCAAAGTTCTATTTAAGGTATCCAGGTATATTGTGTACTGGGGAAAGCGTTTGAGCCTTCAAGCTCCATCTCAGCTCTGATCTGTAAGCAATGTAGGTGAGATTTGGCATGATCCTACCTTCTACTGACCATAAGATTCTTCCTCCTCTATGTTTTGCTTTAAACTTATTTACTTCTTACATACTACCTTATCTCACAGAGTACATCAGTCTGAAAATCTATATGACCTCATGCTTCGGTGAAGAATGTGGAGTAGTTTGTTCCTCAAACAATGCTTGATACAGGCAATGTGTGGCCCAAATGTTGGTACTCCGTGACCTAGGGTATATCACGATAATCACAAAAGTATCAATAAAAATAGTAAGAAAGCTGCTAAAATAGTCCGCGCAACTCCAACTGGAACAGCAAACCTGCCAGTTTGAAGGGCAAACATAATCAATTACATAGAATCATGCGAACCCCTTTTGTTGAGAGGAGATTATTACCAAACTGTCATCGTCAGCACTTACGAAAAATATGCAGCATGCTTTACGTATAGGTCACTGTAAGTAGAATTCAGGGACTTTGCGTAAGCTTACTACAATTATTCCGAGGTGCCTACTCATCCATATACTCATTCAGGCGATGGGGATTGGGACAGACAACAAGGACGCCAATGCCATCGACTAGAAGCCAAAACTTGAGGCGTCTCCGACCAGGCGCAGGAAGAATTTAGCGATCCTTATCATGGAAGGAGATTTGCCACGAGTTCACCCGCACGTTTATTAATTTCTTTCACACCGGTCTGCCAGGGCAAGGGTTGGCCAGCTTTCCAACTCCTCACTCTGAATTGGGCACGCAAACAGCACTCTCGTCGACAAACCATGGTTTGGCATGCGCGGTACGTGGGCTAACCAACACGGCTTCTTGTGTGGTGTTTTGTATTTTTATATTGCTTCCATTATAACACCACGTATTTCGTCAATTGCACAATCGTTTTTTCGTTCGAATACGAAAAACTACAAAAATGCGCACTTGTACAGTTTCACGCTATACAAACGTGGTCACATGCTTCGACTCCCTCTTTTGATTTCGCTCGCGCTTGCAGCGGCCATTCGCGAGTCTCATGTGCCAACTCTGGTATCAAAATAGTTCATACCGTCTTCGGAATCTATTATAGGTGGGAACTGTTCAGAAGGAGTCCTCTGGATCACCATAATTGGATTATCGTTTACTTGCTGACTTGGGCCAACGGCGAACTATTTTAAAGAAAGCAATTATTGGTGAGCCTGTTCCATCTGACCACTTTATTTTTTAAACTCAATCTAGCGTTATTATTTTTATCCCTTTGCCACACACTCCTGGTAAAGTAACTTATTGCGCGACCAGACCACTACACTGGTTCTGGACACGTTGCTTATGGAAGTCCCACTGCAACAAAAACTCGCTTTCTGACTGCCTTGTTTCGGATTCGCCCACAAAATAAATACACGAGCTATGGTCCTGAGACAAAGGACGTCGAATATATGAAGACGCCCCAGTTCCGCCAATCTAACAAGTCAAGTCTCACTGCCATACTTCAAAACAGATCGCGTTGTAGCTTGGTACCCGTGTCCCGTAAGGTTCCAAGATACACCACTTTGATTCCATAGGTGTCCTAAATTAGCAGACGCAACTCCAGAACTAGAGACTCAGGCATCGACCTCGTCTGTCACAATACAGTCAAAGCTAGTAGAGCTTCTAATGTACGAGAGATGATCAACAATCCCGAACGACTCTCCCTAACTTGTGGTGTGACGGGCTTAATGACCGGAGTTTTAGGAGCATCTCGAGATATCTCTGTAGTGATGAGACGTTTCTGATCATTAAAGCGAACTGTGGACCTTTCAGGCAGTTGGCTTACTCTTGGATTCAACAGGCAGCTGGCAGGTATACAAAAATGACATTTCCGCTTATTATGCCCGGATCCTCACCAATCATCCGAGTTTGTTTCTCTGTTACCACAGGTCACGGTGCTCAGTAGAAACAAAGCCAATGTAAATCACCATGGGTTCACATCAACCAAGGTCAGCTGATTGTTTGCTATTGTCGCCAATAGAAGTACTCGATGTATATATATATATATAGCAGAAAGGCCAACGCCAGCTGCCACTAGACAATTAGGCAGAA